GATACCTGGGAGCTCTGCCACACTCAGGCACCCTCGGTCTTCCTGTGACCCCGAGGGTCCTGAGACCTCACTGTCCCAGCGAGGGTTCTACCCCCGCTAGCCACTGGAGCGACGTCCCTCAGTGGAGCTGACTTCTAAAAGTTTCGATTTTGTGCTCTGTGGCTCTATCACTTGCCAGAAGCAGCAGATGGAGGCCCCCTCCCCCGCCTTCTATCTTCTTGAATATTGCCTCAGATTCACTTCTCCGCACATCCTACCTTCCAGAAAGTGGTCGCTTTTCTGTTCAGAGAGTGCTGCTATTCTTTTCTTCAATCTCCTGTTGAGTTCATAGGTGTTCGGAATGGTTTGATCCCTATCCTGCTGAATTCCTGGGACCAGACGAAATTAGGTCTCCTACTTCTCCACCGTCTTGTCGTTAAGGCTTGAGGAAAGACATGTTTTGATGGTAAGTTCTTCATGTTTGATTGTAGCAGCAGATAAAATGTGTCTGATCAAATAAAGTAGTTTAAGACCATTAGCCTTTTGATAGCGGTGGTTGCCTGAAGAGTTGAGGACATTGGGAACTACATCAGTAATCAATTTAAAAACAAGGCAAATGATTTCTAGTAGCTCTTGATAAGTTGACAGATGTCACCAATACAGCACAGTTGTTATTTGATGAGTCAGTGCTGAGTTTGAAGTGAATGAAGAATTAGTTTCTATGAATAGTCCATGTGGAAAAACTATCGGCAAAAATATTTTCAAAGACAAGGAGGAAACATTATTTCAGTACAACCTGAAGTGGAATCTGCTAAGATGTGTTACAACTCTTGGTGGTAAAAATATATATGGAGCAAATAAAGGCTTTTTGGATGAATTTACAAAGCCTATGCTAATTTATTGCAGTAGTCATCAGAAGGTACACTATAGAAAGCATTTGAATCTATCATGTGTTATTGAACCAGTTGTATCCAAGGTGAATTTCATTAGCTTTTCTGGACTTAACCATTTTGTTTTGTGAACTTTTGTCAAAAATAGGAGCTGAATGTCCTGACTTGCCTTACCAACCAATAGCAGTTTGATGTCTTAACAGTAATAAGTCACTAGTAACTTTGAGCTCAGCGTCGAGACTGAAAGTTTTCTTAACAAGAAGAATAGCCTTCAGCTGTTGACCAATGGATGGCTCTGGAAATATCATAATGATTCCTTTAAAAAAAAAAAAAAGATTTTATTTATTTATTTATTTATTTATTTGAGAGAGATAGAGTATGAGCTGGAGGGGGGAGGAGGGACAGAATGACAGGGAGAGGGACAAACAGACTCCCTGCTGAGCATGAAGCCTAATGCGGGGCTCGATCCCAGGACCTTAAGTTCATGACCTGAGCCGAGGTCAGATGCTTAACTGACTGAGCCACCCAGGAGCCTCTGTCATAATGATTCTTAATGGATTCAACCAAAATTCAAAGCGAAACAATGATTATATACAGAGCTCTGTGATAAAGTCATTTTGATGACAATGTTTAAATCACAAGTAATGTCAATCTGCTTTAAAAACATCCTATGCTGTCAAAACTTAAAAAGTGAGATTTCCATTACTACACAAATTTTCAGTGAACATATTTTCCCAACTCAAACTATAGTTCCCTCGATGTTTTTCAGATCTCAATACCTATAAAAGAAAGGTTTAAATTGCAAAATCCATTTAACTGAGCAATTGAGGAGTTTCCATATAACCTTCAACTGGAAGTGATTAATCTGCAGTATGACACACTAAAAGGCAAACATCAAGATAAGATTTAATAAAATTCTATAAATGCCTTCCAAGCAATGAAAATGCTTAATAAAATCTTATGCTCATGGATTGATGCCAGTATTTGCCAGTATCTTCCTTTGAGAGTTTTAGCCAATTGTGAGACATAGCCAGCTACAAAGTTTAGAGGATATACACTCCATACAAGACTATCCTTACTTGTGACACCAATTACAAGTTTGGGGTATTCCCCAAACCATCATCAGGGTCAATAATTCACTAGAAGGACTCACAGAGCTCACTGAAAGCTGTTATACTCAGTTACTATTTGTTACTGGGAAAGGATACATATTTAATTCAATCTAGGGAAGAAGTACCTAGAGCAGAGTCCAGGGAAGTACCAAACATTTCTATTGTCCTCTCTATATGAAGTTAGGATTTGTTACTTTACTGGCATTAATGTGTGATGATATGTGTGGAGTATTGCCGACCAGGAAAACTCACCCAAACCTTAGTGTCCAGAGTTTATTAGGGCTTTATCACATAGGCATGATTGATTGATTGCCTACATAGTTGATCTCAACTTCCAGATCACCTGATACCATGTGGCCCATATTACACTGTCTTTCTGGCATAGTCAGGCCCTATCCTAAATCATATTTTTAGACTGCTCTGTGTGACCTAAGTTTCCTAGGCATTCATGATATTCCAAGGGCCTAAGACCAATTCCCAGTAGCTGAGGACAAATATCAGACTTCTTATTGAGCAAGATTAATTCTTCACTACATACCACCTGTGGGAAAAGACATTTTCTAAGATGAAAACTGTAAAATTTCATTATGGGTCAACATTAACATGAATATTTGCAATCAATTCTGATTAAAGGGAATACTAACTTTTAACTCAGTGAAGTGAAATATGATCTCCCCCCAAAATGTATTTTTCTCATTACTAGACCTAATCACAAAAGAATATACTCAATTATTAATATCAGATTTTGTATTTTATCAATTAAAAATGTGGAACTCTGTTATCTCTCTTGTTATGAAAGTACCTACATAATATCCTTGATTTTGCCTATTGGCCTGCAAAGACTGAAATATTTACTATCTTATCCTTTACAGAAGAAATTCACCAACCTCTGATGTATAATCTGATTTGTAATACTGCTGAGATCATTAGTTTTATGAGTTAACTTGGCGAGACTACAGACTTATTCAATCAAACACCAATCTAGGTGTTGCTGTGGATGCATTTTGTAGATGTAATTAACATCTACAATCAGCTGACTTTAAGCGAAGGAGACTATCCTCAATGGTCTGAGTAGGTCTGATTCAGTCAGTTGAAAGGCCTTAAATGAGCCTTCCTTAAAAAAGAAGAAATTCCAGCTGTGTGGACAGCAGCTTCAGCTGCTCCTGAGAATGTCTAGCCTGCACTTCCTGATGGCCTTCCCTATGGATCTGGCATGTGCCTAATCAGCCCCACATTCACATAAGCCAGTTCCTGGCAATACATTTCTTCATGTTTATATACCTCTCCTACTGGTTTTGTTTCTCTGGGGGAATCCTGACTGATTCAACTGCTCAATACAAAAGTTACTACCTAAAGTGTGCTGCTAGAAAACCAAAAAGGAAAGAACTTTAGATAACATTAAATTAGTATTTTGCCCTACTGTCCGTCAGCAGTGACATTGCCTAATCTGCCTAAGACTTATCGACTCTCTAGTGTAAGGCAGAAAGAGGTAGCAAGAGTTATGAATAAAGAAAATTCAGGAAGACTTTAATTCAGTCTTATCACCATGGGTCAAAGAGACATTTTTGTTTCCTGATAGCATCTGTTTCCAGAGCAAAAATGAGATTTTTCTGAGAAATGCCTTCATTAGCCTAACTCTAGGACTCTTTTCCTGGGGGCCACTGTGGCTGGCTCTCAGAGCACCCTTACCTCCTGGTATTGTTGGTAAATCCTGTGCTTGTGTACTTTCAGAAGAGAGTTTTCTGGGCTTTTATCAGATTTTCAAATGGGTCTGTGGCACCAACAGGATGAAAACCACAAGTGACACCCTCTGTATATGTATATTGAACTGTTATGTGTCACTTGCTGTGTCCATGATCTCCTCTAATCCTCACAATAATCATATGAAGTACGTACTAGTATCCCATTTTACAGATGAGAAAACTGAATCTTAGAAAAAAAATGATAGTTTGTCCTACTGTCATGACCGATAAGCAATAGAGTGTGGATTTGAATTCACATCAGATATCAAAGCTCATGCTAGGAGCCTTGGGAGGGAGTTCTGTTCAGTCACTAGGCTGTTATCCGGCAACTTCCTGCACTTGTGATGGTGGCTTGGGTGGCCCCAAGTACCTGCTTGGCCTCTGCCCACTTGCCTGGGGAGGAGCAAGTTAGAGGTGGCCCCCAAGCTTTGCTGGGGGCCTTCTGGTCTTCTAGCCACTAGCTTTCTAATGTGCCCCAGCCCAATGGGCAGGAGGAGGAGGAGCAGGGCGCCCTGGGGAGGGGAGGGCGGGCCCTGAGAGGGAGTTTGAAAAGAGGAAGGAAGTGGGGCCCGGCGGAGCGCCTAGCCACCCCCTGGCTGCTTCCCCACAGAACGACAGGAGGCCCCCGCAGCTCCAGTGGCCCAGCCATGGCCCCCTGGCGCAAAACTGACAAGGAGCGACACGGTGTGGGTAGGTGTGGGCATGGGATCCCCAGCAGGGGGAAAGGCAGGTGGCCTGAGAACTACGCAGTGGAAGATGCTGCGGCAGCCGGCAGCACGGGCATGGGCGGGGAGCACTGACCCAAGTTCCTGGGCTCAGTGACTTCCTCAGCTTGCTTCGGGCCAGCTGGGTGGGGAAGAGGAGGCAGGGGGGGAGGAAAGTGGGCACCCTGCCCAGTCGGCTTTGCCCAGCTGGTGCCCTCTCCCACTGGGCACAGACTGCTATCTCTCCCCAACGCTTCTGCAACTCCTAGATGGGGTCCAGCCCAGTGTGGCTTTGTGTGCCACAGTCCCAGTGTTTCCACGGGTGGACTCCATCGCCCCATGTACAGAATTGGCCTCATAGAAGAAACAACTGCCCTCTCCCCTGGCCTGGCCTAGCCAGGCCTGGCCCAGCATGCCTTCCTCCACCCCTGTCCAAGGCGACACCCATCTGCCCGCTTCTCCTGCCTGTTTCTTCTGGGTCAGATGATCCCTGATTTGGTAGAGAGGGTCCAGAGGACTGTACAGGCTTGGGGTGTGGGGTTGGAGGATGGAATCCTTTACTCAGCCCTGGAGAACCTCTGGGGAGAAAGGCTCCTGCCAGGTTATCTGGGGATATCCAAGAAGCCAGCTTCAGCAGCTTCAGCCATCTAAGCTCCCAGAAGCCTCTGCCTCAAGCTCAGGGGCGGAAGTGGTGGCTGGGGGAAGGGAGACTTCAGGTACTGGGACTCTTTCTACTAAGTGGCATCCGTGGTGCAGCCTCTGTAGACTCACTGTGGTTTTCAAACATAAGTGTAAATTTGAAAACCGCTGCATGGTTTCCTACACAGGCAGATACCAGACACTACCCCAAAGATAAGCATTGAACAGGTCAGAGGTTGGAAGACCCAAGCCCCAAGATAGAGAGAAAGAGAGAGAGAGGGATTAGATACGGGGAGTCCCAAGGCCACTGTTGGAGAAACACTGCCCTGGAGGGTTCAACATTTATCTCTTCACTTGCTGGGCTCTAGGCACTATGGAGTATTTTAAGATAAATTGTCCCCATCCAGAGAACAAATAATCTATACACTTGAGGGGGCTCAGTTTCTCCATCTATAAAATGACAAGTTTGAACTAAAACCAACAAGGACCATGTTTAACTTCAAAGCTTCTCCAACTCTGGCCCTTCCACCTGGGGGTATTAGGCTGAAATTCTTCTCAAGGGAAGGTGGGAACTGTTAAATAGGGCAGACCATTTTAGGTGGAGAGGCCAATGTAGTACAAGAGATGAAAGCTGGACACGAAGGGCATATCCAGGAAAGAAGAGAGATGTTCCTTTCACCTGACAGGAATGGTTATGCTTAGAGTAAGCTGGAGTCACATTTTGGAAGGGTATAAATGCCGGGCTAAGAAATTCAGACTTTTTCCACTTAGGCAAGGGGGAGCCAAAGCAACTCCCAGAACAGATTTGTGCTGAAGCCAGTGTGGAGGGAGTCTGGGTGGACAGAAAGGCAAAGGTGCCTGGGTGGCAGACAGGAGACAGTATTAGTCCAGGTAAGTAGGGCAGTAAATGGGGGAGATTGAGTGGTGCAGAAGAGTCCTATCCTTTATCCCAAAGGCTACAGTGCATTCCTGCTGTGAAGGCCCTGTGCTGTGGTGTGAAGATCATGGGCTCTGGTGACAGACTGCCTGTTCTTGGATTCCAGTTTCTAACACTCTTCAGCCCTGTGACCTAGACAAGTTACTTACTCTCTTCAGGCCTGTTTCCTTGTCTGTATAATGGGGATAGTAATAGCACCTGCTTCCCAGGGTTGTTGTAGAAGTAAAGGAGTTCATCGACATAAAGTGCTTAGAATGACAATTATGGGGGCGCCTGGGTGGCTCAGTCAGTTAAGCGGCTGCCTTCGGCTCAGGTCATGATCCTGGGGTCCTGGGATCGAGCCCCACGTCCAGCTCCCTGCTCAGCAGAGAGCCTGCTTCTCCCTCTCCCTCTGCCTGCCACTCTGCCTACTTGTGCTCTCTATCTCTCTGTCAAATAAATAAATAAATAAAATCTTTTTTTAAAAAAAAGAATGACAATTATACAAAGCAGTCCTCACTAGATGTTATCAATTATTATTCTTAGACCTTGTCCTCTGCATGGGGGTTTAGTTGAGGACATGACATCACAGGATGGGACAATGTTACAGGATGGAGTAGTGTTCCCACCCTCCCTAGCAGAGGAAATCCTACTTAGGTGGTCAGGGATTGGGAACTCCATTAGGCACTAGGCCTGGAGGCTTCTTGATCTGATGGTATAGCTGACATTTTTCATGCCTACTTATGAAAATTATATTTCATAGGGGGTCAGAAGGCTTATGACCCTCTAGGGATCCAGAGAGCATTTGGAAGGTGCCTGCTCATCAAAGGGGGTTTCTTTTCTCTGCAGATGAATGCTGGACTCTTTCTCAGGCCCTGGGTAGATGGAAGGGAAAGGAAAAGTTTAGGTTATGATGAGATGGGGGACTGGAGTCATGGGACAGAAAGAACAGGGACCTAACAGTAAGGAGTCTGGGTTTTAGTTCCAACACAATCACTATTTGCAGACAGACCTATCATCTAGTTTTCTCATTGTAAGTCTAGGTATTAAATTTTTCTATTTTAGGGTGTTCTTTTATGAAGAGCATTGGAGATAATGAGTATGGGGGCTTGGAAGAAGACAGAGAGGAACATATAAAGGATTAGGGGGTTCTCTGAATATCGTCAGAATCCCAGTCAGGCCTAAAACACAAGGAGAACCTGAGCTTTGCTTTCCTATTTGGTTTCCTCATCAGTGCTGGTAGCATTAGCCAACCTTCTTCTGGCTTAATTCTCAAGGACTGCTTGTGTCTGTCTGTTTGTCTCATGGGCTGGCTTTACATGAGACCGCTTCATCACCAGAACCACTGGCTTCTTTCTCATCTTGTGGTCTGGTGGGCAGCCCCAGGTGACCTTCATATAGATGCCTTGTCAGATTATTTTTCCTTCCTTGATGGAACATTAACATGCAATCCATTAGAATTCCAGAGAGTTCCAGAAGTGGGATAGAACAGTATGACTATGAAGTAAGAAAAGGCACAGACTGCCTTTGAGGAGATATGTATAAGGTTAGAAGCTTGGGCTGTGAAGTCAGAACTGATTTCAAATCTGGGCCTGTTTCCTCATCAATAAAGTATAATAATGATAATGTGGGTCTCGTGAGACTGTTGTGAGGATTAATAGGGGTAATTCATGAAAAGCACTTAGTAATGTGGTTGGTTCAATCAAAGTTAATAACTAAGGTCAAGGGGTTACCTAATAGTTGCAGAGCCAAATGAAATACAGGGTAATGCACCCTAACACCAGATTCAGGACAGTTATGCCTTCCAAGAGTATAGTGTTTTGTGTTTACGAGACCCATTCTCATGCAATGTCTTTGGCTCCAGAACATCTCTGTGAGGCATTATTTCCATTTTACAGATGAAGAAACCAAGACCCAGAGTTCACATAATTTAGAAATACTTGGGCTTGGCCTTAAATTCAATTGACTTTAGATCCCAGGTCCTTTGCACCACACGAGGGAATCCAGGAGGGGGGACATCATAGAAATAGGCAGCATGTTGGAATGTATGTGGCATTTGGGTCAAACAATAAAATTCTGCGTTGGTTTTAGTAGATGTTTGTAATGAAAACAAAATAAAACAAAACAAAAAACAAAACTTTGGAGAGGTAGATTACAGCCAGACTTTGAAGAGCTTTGAATGCCAACCTTGTAAGTTTGGACTTCATTCTGTGCACAGGGGAATTTTTGACCAGGCATGTCACCTGTAAGAATTTAATATAATTAATTGTGAGAAGGGCAGGGATTGAACATAGAGGTACAAGAACCGAAGTGGGTGAAAATTACCTGTCTCCTGACTGCCTGATTAGTTAACCCTGGAAGAGTCCACTTAAAATTAACATTTACTTTGGCCTTTACTATCTTAATCCTCTCTGAGTCTCAGTGATGAGAGCTTCCACCTTGGAGGAGAGAAGGGAGAGCAGAAAAGGAGGAGGAAGAAAGAATAAGTAACAGTGTCAGTTAGGAATAAGTGTGATGGGTGATAGAATACCTCCAAAACAGTGGCTTAACCAAACTAGAAGTTTATTTCTCCCTCAAATAGAAAGCCCAGAAATGGTCCACGAAGAGGTGGTAGAGCAATTAATTGTCTACTGCACTGCCTCCTTAGCACCAGGCTTCTGCCTCCTGAACCTTGCTAGTTGCTCAGGCTCCAGCTGTCAGGTCCCCCCTTCCAACCAGCAAGAAGGATGAAGGGAACAAGAAGGGCATGGCCTTTCTCTTTAAGGACACTTACCTGAAGGTCCTCTTAACACTTCCTCTTGTAACCTGTTTGCTAAAACCTAATCACATGACTGAACCTAGCAAGGGTAGGTAGGAAATGTAGTCTGTAATGCAGGCAGCCATGCACCCAGCTGAAAATTAGTAGTGCCATTCCTAAGGGGAAGACGGATATTGGGGATGATATATTAGTTTGCTTAGGGCTGCCATAAGAAAGTGCCACAGGCTGTGTGGCTTAAACAATAGGAATTTATTTTCTCACAGTTCTGGAGTCTGGAAGTCCAAGACCAAGGTGCCAGTAGGTTGATTTCATTCTGAGGCCTTGGCTTGCAGAGAGCTGCCTTCTCATTGCTTTGTCTTCACAGGATCATCTCTGTGCATGCTCACCCCTGGTGTCTCTTCCTCTTAGAAGGATGCCAGTCATATTGGATTTGGCCTTACCCTAACAGCTTCATTTTAATTTCATCACATTAAAGCCCTGATCTCCAAATATGGTTACATTCTGAAGTACTGGGGATTGGAACTTCGACATATGGATTTGTGACCCTAGGCAGGGACAACAGTTGAGTCCATAAGGATGACCCATGGCCTATGGTATGACATTTGAAGAAGGCTTCAAGGCCAGGCTTCTCAGACAGAGAGTGAGGATAGAAAAAAAGTTTCCTTTACCCTGA